CCATCAAAATGCATTTTTGGAACTAGAATAAGGCGCAGAGAAATATGAACTAGGGAGTGGAAATTCTGCTCTTCAACTACAAAGGGTTAACAGTTAGTACTTAATACTAGCATCTAAGGCCTAATATAAAGGCCTGTGTGACTGACAAGTAAGAACAACCAATCAAAAAAAAATATTTTTTTACTACAGAACCTAAATACTGTACAAGGAACATCTTTATCTCTCATGTGAAGGAGACCCTATGCACAGAAGGTTAGACAAATTAAGTTTATATCACCGGAAGTAAAAGGAATGCACCTTTAGTTAAATGGGGGATATCTGAAAAGCCTGCCTTACAGGAAGATTCAACAGAATTATCAGGAAACCTTGATTTAAATCTTTTCAACTTACTGATTGCTGGACTATCAAGGAGAACAAAGGAGAAGAGGGTCAACCAAAAATGGAAATAACTCCTCTTGGTTTGTGGCTTGGTTCAACCAAAAAATAAGCAAATATTAATAGCCGTTCTCATTGCAATGGAAATAACTCTCTGTAAACAGGTACTAGGAGCCAAGCATTGACAGCATGCACACAGACCAACATTTGAATTACTCATGTCATCAGATGGATAATCACAATAATTTTACTTATGCAGTTGGTTCAAGAGAGAATAGCAGGTTACTTCCATACACAAACTAATGGAGCCTAGCTATAACCATATGATCACTCAGCAAAATAACACATTCCCATCTAGTTTATTCTATAGAAATTAACAGGAAATAACCTGAATGAATAATGGGTGAGCGTCAGTACGACACTCTGCAGTTCAAATAAATCTAACTCGAATTCTGTGAATATCTGGCTAATGGCAACTAAACAAAAGAAATTACGTGATGCATTGTATCTGGAATTCTAGTGTGAGAAGAGATTTGGGAGCATTACTGAAGAATACACACGCAATGAAAAAGGGCTATGAAATTAGATCCTTGCCAGAATCTCATACCAGCCTGGCCTGACGGTAGAGGATGGAACTGCGGCAAGGAGGGCTAGTAAAGGACTTGTGGGGCTGGATGCAGGTCTTCCACCGGTAGGAAAATGCCCAACTCCTCTGCAGTAGATTTCACACGCTGCTGCCCACCGCCAAATAACCTCAGGGCAGAAGCGGTGGCGGTGGAGACGCTGTAACGTTTCATCGTGAAGCTGAGGCGTCGATTCCTCCATGGCTGAAAGCCAATGCCGACGAGGGCGCCCAACGCGAAATCGCCCGCTCGCCGCCGAAACTGCTCGGCCCTCGCCCCCGATCTTGATACTGCTGGTAATGGATCCCACGTTTTCCAGAAACTGTGGGGAGGGGGTAGGATTAGCTCGCAATACCTGCACCAAAAAAAATCGTGCGCCAGCCGCAGAGGTGGTGGGAATTTTGTTTTTGGGTATAAGAGCATTATAAACATGAAGTCTGGTACACAAGCTATATATAGGTGACACCGAAGGTTTACGATGGTGTCCTCATAGGGAGTGAGCAGTTAGACAGAGGCGGAGGCACTTTGCCTTGCGTCTGAAGGTGAAGGCATACATCATTCCTTCATCTATGTTTGCCATGTGAAGAACTCCTTGCAGCTCCTTCCAGAGAAATGTTTTCTCTTGTAAAGTAGACCATAAAGAAACCTGCACCATACAAACAGAGAAATATTTTCTCTTGTAAAGTAGACCATCAAAAGTTGAGGAAGGTGCTTCAGAACTGGAAAAAAATAGTAACTTCACACGAGAAATAACCTCTCCAATATGTATGCAAATACAATCGGCTTAAAATGAAATGAAACAAAAACAGAAATCAAGAGAAACTGAGAAATGCATACTAGACCATGCTAAGCACCTTCAGTTTGACCATAAGTCAGGGTTCTAAACCAAATACACACAGAAAAAAATTAGGCAATATTTCAAGTGAATGAAGGAATTAATAAGATGGAGAGCTGCATTATCATCATTAACAGAAGGAAAAGGCATAGGCAATGAAGAATGTTTGTTTTATAGTAGGCATGAATATAGACATACACAGGATAATTTTCGACAACATGTACAATTTAATTTAAAGAAATCCCTGTTGTTTGATAGTAGGAAGACAACACTTGCACCGACAAAAATACAAAAATCGAAATGTAAGATCCGAGTAACTATAAAGATAGGCGACACAACAGAATGCAAGACATGATAACATAGAGCACTGTGTCCAGGAGCAGTTCTTAGGAATAGCAGTCAATTACATCAAATAGTAATTGGATCCAACACCATCAACCCATGGTACTTTTCTACAGATAAAGCACACAAAAAGATGATATAAATGCTTCTTTTGATCTTCTGTACCAAATATGATCAGTCCAATCTTTGTGACTCATCAGTCCGATAAAATATGCAAGCCATATGATTACAACCAAAAAGATGGACACAAACTTGTGAGTTTCCTTATGCACAGATCAGAATATATGTGTACTGAAAGTTGAAAGAGATTCAAGTTTCCAGATAAAAAACATCGATAAAATAACTCAGGATGTTGCAATCAGTTGACATTATACTGCAACCTAGAGCTGCTGCTCACCATGAGACCTGTACTGAACCATGAAACAAAAAGAATGTGCGACCTGACATTATACTACAGTTTCTTGTGACCGGCAAATTAGGAATGCCGAGCATAAAAATATGGTGGATATAATGATAAATTGAATGACTGGAGCTAGCAAGAAGGGTCGTGGAATATGTCAAACAGAAGAAATTACTAACATGAAAGTAGTTGTCATTTGTAAGACCACCCCTCAGTGTTCTGGCATGCATGTGCGTCCTGAACATTGTTATGACGCTAAACATATTTCTTGTTAAAAAGATGAGTGGTTCCCTTTCATACAACTCTTGTATATTTATTTGAGTGGATGTCAATAAATTTTTTTTAAATAAGACCAACCCAAGGGCTAACCCTCGTTGGCATTTTTTTATAGGAGAAACTCCGCGAGCACCACGCGTCAAAGCCGGGGCTCGAACTCGGGTGGGCTGGCAGCTACCCCAGCTGCCCAGCCAACGGGTCGACGCCCCGTCCTCGATGTTAATAATTTAGATAGTCGCTATGTGGGAATAAGGCAGCTCAAATCATTAGTAAAATGTAGTAGCGCAACTGATAAAAAATGCATTAAAACATCTCTGTAAAAGAATCAGAATCTGTTGTTCAAAGATATGGAATCTACTTAAAAGATAATCTTGGCTCTTGTAGATTGATTGAGGAGAGTAGTCATTAGAGCTCTACCCTGTTTTTCCATAACTATGAAGCAACACAGATAGCCAACTGACATAGTTAACTACTTAGTTCTGTATCATAGAGCAAAATCTAGGCATAATAGTCAGGCTACAAAACAACTATGAGGTGCACCAACTTCTTTTTGGAAAATACAAATACCCACTAAAGAAGAATGAAGTTGCACTCGGCCAGCAGGGCATTTAACGCAAATGCATTGGCTAATGCCAATGATGTCTGTTTGTTACCTAGGATAGCCATGAAATTGTTAATCGTATGAAAGTACAGGAATGCAAAGAAACCATGATCATTCTACAATTGTGGAAGCAAGTTATTACTCCCTCCATTCCAAAATAGATGACTCAACTTTGTACTAACTTTAGTACAAAGTTAGTTCAAAGTTGGGTCATCTATTTTGGAACGGAGGGAGTATGTTTCAAGAAATCCTACAGGAAAGAAGCAATGTAAAAAGGGGAAACAGCTAGGCACGCACTAAGAAACTGACGAACAATATCTGTCCAACTAAACATCTACACCTGATGAATCAATATCCTTGCGGAGGGCCCTATACAATTGGAACAGAAAAAACAATTTTCAAAAACAGTGCCCCTCTGTTATCACCATACTCTAGCAGATTAATTTAACACAATCTCGCTACTTGTGCTTTCTGATGCCTTGTGGCATTGCTAATGAAAATACCTTGCGAACCCATTTAAATGAATTTTGTACACTTCTGTTGATTTGTCAAAAGGAACATACTGTAATAAGACAAGCACCTCTACAGAAGTTGGCATTAGAATAAGCTTAATGACCTTTCGGAATAACTTCTGTGGTACTAAAAGAGCTACCCCGCAATTACAGTCAACAGTTAATGGCTTCATTCTTAGTGGAGCAAGGAAAATAGGGAGCACAGATGAAAATGCTCATACAGGAAGATCGTCATCGATGGGGAGGGGGAAAGTGTTCTGCACCTGGAGAGCAAAGCCTGCAAAAATGTATAGAAAGAACATGAACTATTGACCTGTTGCCATGTCGTCGGCAGAGTGCCATCGCCATGACCGAGTAAAAAAAATATAGCCTATCCCAGCTTGACTGGATATATAGATTCCCAAGGAAAAATTACAAACCTATACTAATATAGTGAATATCAAGATTCTTAGGAGAAATGTGTAACCTAAAATACTAAAAAGGAATCATAGCCCATTCCAAAACGACTGCATATACATACAAAGATTTTCAGGAGTAGATATGATTCTAGCATATGTTCAAACCAGGAATACAAATAGTGAAAATGTTTAACCTGAAATTTGCTCTAAAACATGATATATGTTTATTTTACAAATAGTAAAACATAAACATAAGCATTCCTTTTAGCATTAAAAAGAGGATCGAAACAGTTAAAGAAAGAACCACCTTTTTTTGTCAAACCATTCCTTTTCTGGGAACCTTTGTTAGGCAAGCCTTGTGGCACTGGCATCTGTAACCCTGAAACCACACATAACTCCCCATCAGAAAATTGAAGTTTCAAGCTTCCTATAAAGGGGCATTTGCATTCCTAACATACCCAGCAAAATAATCAATCGTGCAATCAAGATATGTAGGTAAACAAATGAAAGAAATCTCTTCACTGCAAATCTCATCTAACTTTGTCGTATTCTTTTCTCTCCCTCATGTAGTCATGTTTATAGCATCAAAATGAGAGAACAAAGGTTAACAAGACGGAGAAAAATCACCTTGATCTTCTTCAGTTCTTCTTGATGTACTCACTGAAGTGAGATTGGTACTTCTTAGGTTCCTCATCAGCTATTGACTGAAATAGGGTAGGGCAGAAGTTAAAACGAGATCCAGTAAGCTGCTTCAGAAATAAGAACAAAGTACACTGCTTTTGGATACTTTATATGGGTGAATCAGGCCCAGATATATCTTCCAGAAAGAATTCATGTATACAACAATGATAGCCCTAGGGAATGAAGAAATGGCATTATAATACCACGAGGGCAATGGATCCAACTCACCTTCATGTAGTCAGCAACATGACCTTCATAGATGTATTTGAGGTGAATCTCAGCGCCCAGCTGCTTATCCTTCTTGAAGCCAGCAAATCTCTTGTCACTGTGCGGAAGATCAAGACCACCATCCAAAGCTCCCTGTAGTAGCCAACAGACTGAGCGGGTCTCAAGCGGATAAACTGTATGCTTCCTAATTCAATAGCTTAGAACCCCCCCAAATATAGAATAAAAGAAGCACACCTACGACAGGCAATAAATGCAGTCCAAGATTAGGCATACTTCAGTTCCATCGTAAGTAAGCTATATATTTTTCTTGGCTTTCCATGTTTACCAACTATATCCTTTAAAATGTCTATTGTTTAGATTTCCAAGCTATCCAGCAAAATTATCAATCGTGCATTCAAGATCTGTAGGTAAACAAAATAAAGGAGACTTTCACCACAAATCTCATCTAGCCATCACAAATCATAGCATCAGAATAAGATAACAAAGTTTAACAAAGTGACAAAACAAAAGAAAAATTAAAGCATTACAGCAGCAGCTCACCATGGCAATCCTGGAAAGCAAAGAGTTGTCAGTGTAGAAGAGGTGTGTGAAACCCTCTCTGCCTGATCTTCCTACTCTTCCTCGCGACTGCAGATGAAAAGAAAAGCAGTGAACTTGAGGTCCAGATCTCAGATTCATACATCCAATTCTTTTGCCAAAAAAGGCAAAGTAAAAATCTGAGAACTAAAACCAACTGATACAGCTACAGGAGCCCAAATAGTTCTGCATACAAAAATCTTTATTTCCCTATAAGAAAACTTCTTCATACCAAGTTGTAATTATTTGACACTTTCAGTGGGAAAAATATTTAGCAATAAAATTGATCATTGAAGCTAAAGCACCATTCACCTATGCAACAAGAACATAAATTAGTATCAGAGTTCTAACATCAAATGTAGGTGCAGTCCATAGATAGGCTAACTACCTGGAATACCTAGCAATTTAAAATATGCTTGAATGAAGCTGCAGAATGAGACAAAAAGGGAAGA